AAAAACGTTAATGCATTAAGAATCAGAACTGAAACCGTAAAATCGGGATTCGAACTGATTCTCCTGGTTTCTTAATTCAGCCATATTGCCATGGACGAAATTATATTATTTTGTCGATTCGTCGATGCTACTGCCACGTACTTTAGCGGCTTGAGCATCGAGCCGATAACGTAGAAATGACGAGAGCAGCCGAACTCTGCCAAACCCGCAGAGCTCACACGGACACGTGGGACAACGCGCTTGTGTTAGATGAAACAACTGCGGTAGGGGAGTCACTGGGTCGTCGTGGGACGTCGTGGAGAGGGTAAAGATTTGTCTCACGTCCCACGGTTCTGGCATCACTGCCTCCGACCCCTACCTTCTGCACGGCAGCATTGGCCAGTCCGGCGGCGGCGGCGGTGGTGGCTGCTGCAAATAAGAAACGGACGGCCAGTAGTCCACCATTGCCCCCGGCGCTCAACGCCGGGAAGAAGAAGAAGGAAGAAGCCACTACCGCCCAAACGGAATGGACAGAGGTGACCGTGAAGGGAAAGAAGAAGAAGAACAAGAAGAATAGCCCTCCGCTGCAGTCGGCAAACGGGAACGCGGCAACGGGCGAAGGGACGAAGTCGCGGAAAGGGAAAACAAAGAAGCGTGCCCGCCCAGAGGCCATCGCCCTCAAACCCGCGCAAGGCAAAAGCTACGCGGAAATCTTGGGAGGCATCCGAAGCCAGGTTGACCCCGAGAAGTACGGAGTGAACATCGGTGCAATTCGGCGGACGAGGAACGGGGAGCTGAAGAAAACTACAGCGGAGAACAGAGACGGCCTCACCAGTGCCTTGCAGAAGGCGATAGGAGATGCTGGCAGTGTGCGAGTCCTGATACCTAGAGCTGTTCTGGAAGTCAGGGATATGGATTGCTGCACCACTGAAGAAGAGGTAGTCGTAGCTGTGAAAGGCAAGCTACCGGGCTATGACGGGCCTCTCATCTTAAGGTTAACCAGACCTAATAAGGCGGAACAACGGATGGCGATCCTCACTGTTAGCGAAGATGCCGCCAACAAGCTGCTGGAGCAGTCTCACCTTAGAGTTGGATGGGTGAACTGCAGGCTCAGGCGCCGAAAGCAAATAACGCGATGCTTCCGGTGCCTGGGATATAGTCATGAAGGACGCGGGTGCAAGGGGCTCCATCGAAGTACCGTGTGCTTTAAGTGCGGCAACTTGGAACATAAGGCGGCTGATTGCACGGCAAGCCCTAAGTGCTTCCTTTGTGCTGATGTTAACACCGACCCAGATACGAGAAAGCACTTGGCGGGATCTGGCGAATGCAGGGTGTTCCGGGAAGCCCTAGCAAAGTCTGGAACGTCATAATCGTGCAAGTACTACAGGCAAACATGAATCGGAGCAGGACAGCTCACGACCTCCTCACACAGCTCTGTCTCGAAAAGGATGCTGATATAGTGCTCATCAGCGAACAATATCAGGACAGAGACGGGACCGGCTGGCAATCGGACGAGCTCGGGACAGCCGCGATCTGGATTCCAGACCCACGCCGATTCACGGTGGAGCGTCGGGGGACGGGTCGCGGGTTCGTGTGGGTAGGCAGTGGCGACGTCACGTATGTCAGCTGCTATTTCACCCCAATGAAAGAATAGGCGACTTCCAAGAGAAGCTGGACGGGTTAGAGGACGCGGTCCGGGACATGAGTTGTGAGGTTATCGTTGCTGGTGACTTCAACACGAAGGCCGTGGAATGGGGAATGGAGCCGGACTCCAGGGGTCGAAGGGTCATGGAGATGGCCTCCAGACTGGGCCTGGTAGTGCTGAACTCCGGTCAAACCTCGACCTTCCGGAGACCAGGATATCGGCAGACCATTGTCGACATTTCCTTCTCCACCGAGGCATTGGAGGCGCGTGTGCACGATTGGCGCGTGATCGAGGATTATACCAGTAGTGATCACCAGTATATCACCTACTCGGTCCGACATCGCGCGCCGCGTCGCGTATACGCTGCACAACCGCGTTACCAGTGGAGAGCGGACCGAGCTGACCACGAAGCTCTCTTTCACGCGTTAGAGCTTGGGAAACCCTCCCTGGAGAGTATCCCCCGTGGTACTGACCCAAGGAAGAAGGCTGAGCGGTTAGCCAGTCAGACAATGGCTCATATCCAACGGGCTTGTGAGCTCTCAGTGCCGAGGGTGCGGATAGGTCACCGGTGACCAGTATACTGGTGGACTGCCGAAATAGCGGCGCTCAGGGGCAGGTGCTTGAAGCTCCGACGGGTAGCCCAACGGGCCAGACGAAGGGAGGATGTGGCACCCCAATCGACTGCCGATTACAAGGCGGCCAGACGGGAGTTATGCCACGTAAATAGAGTGAGCCAGCGTCGGTGCTGGCAACAACTAGGGGATGACCTTAACCGGGACCCTTGGGGCCTAGGATATAGGGTTGTCAAGAAAAAGCTCGGGGCCCAAGTAGCTGTGTGTCCAATGGACTCCTGCACAATGAGGCACATTGTGGACACCCTGTTCCCCGATCACCCTAAAAGATCGGAACGTCAGCATCCGACGTGGGAGCCAAATGCGCCCCCTTCACTCGCGAAGAGCTCGCCGCCGCCGTAAGTTCGCTCCGGAACAAAAAAGCATCAGGACCTGATGGGCTCTCTCCGGAGCTGATAAAGCTGGTGGCTAGCAGTCATCCCGAGCTCTTGCTGAGCATGTATAACGCCTGCCTGAAGGCCGGAGTTTTCTACTCCCGCTGGAAGTGCGCGCGGTTGGTGCTGATCAGCAAGGGTAAGGGGCCACCAGATTCTCCTTCATCCTTCCGGCCGCTATGCATGCTTAATACGGCAGGGAAGGTGCTGGAAAAGCTATTGAAGACACGGCTTCAAGCAGCAGTGGAGGCGGCTGGTGGCCTTGCCCCGCGCCAGTATGGCTTCCGCAGGGGACGGTCAACCATCGACGCGGTCCAGGAGATGGTAACAGCCGCACGCGCTACCGAACGGGGGAACCATTACTCGCGTCCAATGTGCCTGCTAGTAACATTGGACGTGAGGAATGCATTCAACTCTGTTGGGTGGCAAAAGATCTTGATGGCACTGGAGCGGGAATTCCGTATTCCAGAATATTTGTTACGTATTCTGGACGACTACCTGAGGTCCCGCTTCATAACGTACCACACTTTGGACGGCCCAGCGAGGAAAGAGCTGACCGCAGGGGCGGCACAGGGTTCCATATTGGGCCCGGATTTGTGGAATATTTTCTACAACGGGATCTTGTGTATAGACATGCCCGCAGGTGCATATCTCGTTGGATATGCGGACGATGTTGGAGTCATACTGGTCGAGCGGGGGCTGGAAGCCCTTCAGATGCGCTTCAACCAAGTCATGCGACGGGTCAGCGCTTGGATGGAGGAACATGGACTCGTTGGCAACAGCGAAGACGGAGTTAGTGCTGCTAACAAAGAAGTGCATACCAGCCTCACTACCTATGATGGTTGGGGACGTGACGCTCGAAACCAAGAGGGCCGTAAGGTACCTGGGGGTGACTCTAGATTCCAAGCTCACCTATTGGGATCATATCCGGAAGGCCTGCGACAAGGCGGTGAAGGTGACAATTGCGATTAGCACCTTAATGAAAAACATTGGGGGCCCGCGCCCCTGTAAGCGCCGGCTACTTCTCCGCACTGCTGAGGCCATAATGCTCTACGGAGCCGAGATTTAGGCGGACGCACTGCGGGTGGATAAGTACAGGAAGCGCATGGTGTCCGTGCACCGGAGAGGTGTTCTGCGTGTGGCCTGCGCTTATCGGACCGTCTCTGAGCCTGCGGTCATGGTCGTGGCCGGGGCGATGCCCATCGACCTGCAGGCCAGGAGAGAAAGGTGGCCTACGAGCAACGAGCCGCACTAGGAAGGGACGAGGCCAAGGCAGCGGCAAGACGCGACGCCATGAAGAATCGGTGGATGCTGGAGACCCGCGGCCGGTGGACAGCTCGCCTCAAACCGGATGTGAGTAGTTGGGCTAGCCGCGAACACGGGGAGACCAACTACTTTCTGACGCAGTTCCTGACCGAGCATGGACTGTTCCGCCACTACCTCTATACGAGGAAAAAGGAGGGGGACCCAGGCTGCGCCCACTGCGAAGCAGAAAAAGATGACGCCCTCCACACATTCTTCCAGTGCAAGGAGTGGAGTGTGGAGAGGACTAATTTAGAGAGGGATGTGGGGAGGATAACGCCGGACAACATCACTCGGCGGATGCTCTCCGACGTCCGAGTATGGGGGAGGATAGCAGCCTACGTGGAGGCAGTCCTCCGAGGAAAAAAGCGCAATGTACATTTCAATGTACATTTAATAACAATATCATTAGAACTATACCTACATTAGATATGTAATGTACAATTAATAACAATATCATTATTACCATATCTACATTCGATACAATGTAATATACTGATTACTACCCACAGATCAATGTACATTTAATAACAATAACATTACCACTATATCTACATTAGATATAATGTCATAGTGATACATTCCAACAGATCAATGTACCTGCATTTAGTACCAATGTCATTATTACCATATCTACACTACATATAATGTAATATACTGATTCCATCCCACAGATCAATGCACATTTAATAACAATATCATTAGTACTATATCTACACTTGATATCATGTAATATACTGATTCCTTCACACAGATCAATGTACATTTAATAACAATATCATTAGTACTATGTTTACATTCGATTTAATGTAATATACTGATTCCATCCCACAGATCAATGTACATTTAATAACAATATCATTAGCACTATATCTACATTCGATATAATATACTGATTCATTCCCACACATCAATGTACATTTAATAACAATATCATTAGCACTATATCTACATTCGATATAATGTAATATACTGATTCATTCCCACAGATCAATGTACATTTAATAACGATATCATTATTGCTATATCTACATTCTATATAATGTAATATACTGATTCCTTCCCACAGATCAATGTACATTTAATAACAATATCATTAGCACTATATCTACATTAGATATAATGTCATAGTGATACATTCCCACAGATCAATGTACCTACATGTAATACCAATGTCATTGTTATCATATCTACATTAGATATAATGTAATATACTGATTGCTACCCACAGATCAATGTATCAATGTACAGGCCTGACGGACATATTTCGAGATATTTCTTCTTCTTGTTGTTCTTCTTCTGCACAGCTAAGCTGGAAGTGGCATTTGCAGTTCGGAATAGTGCAGAGTTATCTCAAAGGAAGGGGCCACGGTGTTTCTGTATGTTTATTATGTTGGTGCGGCTTCGGATCTTTTAAATATCTCGATATATCTCGAAAACTACGCATCTGATCAAAAAATATCATACAACATAAATAGTAGAAAACTTAATTTCCTACAAAAAAGATCTCTTAACATTTTGCCATAGCTCGCATCGTATTGTCCCTCTCATGACGACATGACAGTGTGGTGTTCCTGTAAGAGTCTTAATTTATGCCATTAAGATGTGCTATTTCAGCTATTTTATTATTATATGGTGTTGCAATTATGTTATTATTATTATTACTTTACCTTGGTTCTTTTCGTCCCTTTTCCTTTTCATTTTCTTCTTCTTTTCTTTTCTTTCCTCACAGTTGTAATTAAACCTTCTTAATTGGTTAACTTGTTCCTTTTAACGAGTCCTTTTATGTTGGTTTTGTATTCCTGCTGACACTTTCCTGCTTTGACACATTAGGGTTAGGGTTATATCTCTGTAATAATCTTGTCACCCGTTATCTCTGAATTGGCTCTCTTATGGCTTAATTTACTTACCTACTTTTATACTTACTAGTATTTTGCTATTTCTCTCTTCTTTGATTTATTGTCCTCCTCCGACTCTCCTTCTGCTTCCTGCTGGTGAAACTCTTGTGATTCTTGCAATACTTCACATCTGTTCTACGGTCTTCAATATGTATGTTTTCAATATTGTTTTTGATAAGAATACGATATTTATTATTGATAAGAATACAGTGCTTAATAATATAAACTGCGTCTCGCTATGTTTCGCTACGCACGCTTCCACTGCGACGACACCATACACAAAATAACGTACCATACAACCGCTCTCTTAATGAGGACAGCACTTTTCGAATCTATGAGAACGTAATATATAGAAATGTACCACACTCTCAACAGTTTTGCTTTGCTCTAATATCCATACTAATATTATAAATGCGAAAGTAACTCGGTCTATCTGTCTGTCTGTCTGTCTGTCTGTTTGTTACCTTTTCACGCCTAAACCGCTGAACAGATTTCGATAAAACTTGGCAAGGAGATAGATTGCATCCTTAGGAAGGTCATAGGCTACCTATTGTTTTCCAAAAAATAAAAAGAACAGATTTCCGTGAGCTTCAAATATGTTATAGATCAGGTTTCGGAATTAACTGCTCTTCTCGGCCGATTGTCAGATGTCACGCCTCCTTTCCCGAGCCGCACTTCTTGGCCCCCGCGGCGACCTTAGTGCTTGGATAACCTCAAGCGCGTATCATATGAATCGCGCATGGCGCATTAGGGCGACAACCGTAATAATAGATTTCCAAATCACCCATGACGTACTGTTATCGATGCGTTATTTTTTGTCACGCGCGATTCTAATGATACGCGCTTGAGGTAATGCAGTTATATCAATTAAGATATTGCACATATATTAAAATAAAATAAAAAATTCAACGCGGACGAAGTCGCGGGTATCTTCTAGTATACTATACTATCTCACTGTAGGAATCACTCAATTTACAGTAATGCTTCGAAATAAGCAAGTGGTCTCTGCTTCGAAATAAGCAACTCGCTATCCCCTCTTCTTTGTTTGAAGTCGCCCGCAAAGTGAGAGGTACGAGAAATGAGTAAGAGGTCTATGAAAGCGCGAAACCGATGTTTAGGGTAATAAATTTCACGCTCGACTGAGCATTGACATCGGTTAGTAGAAGAAGGGTGGAATATATATAATGCTTTCTCAGTCGGGAATATTTGCTTCGAAATAAAGCATAGTGCGAGAATGAGAGGGCATGCTATATTCTATCCTTGTTGAAAAAATAACATCGCTGCTCGGCCGATCACTTTATGATTTGCCGCTACCTCGGATCTCTCACTCGTTTCTCGCGTTCTCTATCGTCCCGTTTCGAGAACAAAGTCAAGCCGAATAGCAACCTGCTTCGAAATAAGCAACTGTTCGGTCCCGAGTCACTTGCTTATTTCGAAGCATTACTATACTCAATTTGGTGGCGTTAACTTATGTTCAGCTATTTATGCACTGCCACATTATCGGTAATTAACTTTCCTATGGATATAATATTTATTTATAATCATACGTTATTTCAGTGGGCCGAATAATTTTGTATTTACATCTTGCTGTTTTGCTTTCCTCACTGCATCTTATTTCATTCATTTTATTTTATTTATTTGCTCATTATGCTGGGTTCACCTTTTTCTCGGTTACTATCGTTTTCCCTTTATTCCGATTTATAAATTGAATTGATCGATTGATTCAACCTTCTTGATTGGCTCGGCATTATTCATGTATTTATTGTGGTTCGATCGATTTTCGACCTTGTTCATCTATTTCATTTATTTCTCATTATTTGTTTTACGTTGTTTGCTAGCTGTATCGATATAATTTGTCGGTGTTGTCTGTAAGCGGTACGGCAGTATAATGTATGATTTTGCGATTTACTTTGGTGACCGCGTTTGTCGCATTATTTTACTACGTCATGCATTATGTCGGGCTCACATTTCATATTTCCTTTCTATTAGTTGCCTTCTTGCCTTGATTCTATTTTGGTTTGATTTATTTCATTTCATTTTATTAATTAATATTATTTGACTGTGTGTTGTTTGATGTTTGATTGGTTCCACGGGATTTTCCTGACTATATGCGTTTGATATTGATTTTGCTTTGGTTAAGGGTCTTATTTTATTTATTTATTCGGCCTCTCATTCCTTGGCGATTGTTTTCCTTTATCTTCGTTGTTTTTGTATAATTTGTTTCTCTGCGACGTGATAATGCAGTAACGCAGTGCGTCCTGCAATCTGCGCAATTTGCGGGGCTTATTCGGGTTGATTTTATTTTCCTAATTATTTTATTGACTTACATTTTGTCAGGCTACTTTATACGTTTTAATTTATAATCATATTTTATTTTATTTATTTTATTACAAACTTATATGATGTTTTATATATGTAATATATTTATAATCATAGTATTGACTTATTTCTTTATATATTAATTAATTAATTCCTGATGTTGGCCCGTCTGGAAGTTTATCTGTGATCGCTTTGATTTTAGCAGAATTATCTTTTCGTTTAAGTATTGTATGCCAGACTTATCCTTGATGGTATGTCTGATGGTAAGTATGGTTTCCTAGCATTGCGCGGCAGCACGATGAACAGTTCTGCAGTCGGTAACTGTGTAACGGGTAATTGGCGCGTGGTAGGTAACTACTGCGCGGCAGATAATTTATCTGTGGATAGCCGTTTCGGAGTGAGCGGCCGAGTATTATTGTTTGGTAAATGGAATATTTGTTGTTGGTAATATCTTTGGTGCTGCGGTTGGTTACCAACTAGGCGTAGCTTGCGCCTTATGGTTATCTTTTGTAGGTACAATATCAATCATAGTGTCCGTTCGTCTAGTGAAAAAGCACTGTCTTTGGAGTCCAAGTTTAACAGCAGCAAATATCGTAAATCTAATTATTTAATAAAAGCGTTAAATTAATTAACATAATCATCTGATAAAAGCTTTAAAATATTCAATAATTTAGAATTTCAATCATTTATTTGAAATTACAAAATACACTAGACGAACGGACACTATGATTGATATTGTACATTATTTTTTGGTTTTGGTCATTTTGATTTGTTGAAACTGTTTTGTTTATGCATTTTCGCTTATGAGCACTTATATATTCTGTATAATTAATTAATTTGATGGTTTGATGGTTAATTTGACGGTTGATAACCATTATGGAGTGAACTAGGGAATTTTATGAACACTAGGTTCTATCTCTATATACTTTATGATTTATGGTCTCGCTCTTGCTCTTTTACTTGGCCTGATTTTCTGTCTCCCGTTCAAAGCATATTTTTAGGTATCTGTTTCTTCTGAGCAATTGGGTGTTCCCGATATTCATCGCTAATTTATTATTCTGCTACGAAATAATTTGGGAATTAAATTTGAACAATGGATTTATATAGTCTATGGTCATTATTTGTTAGGTTATACTCGGTCTCCTATCTTCATTGCTATACTCATCGGTTATGTATGTCTGTTTACTTCTGCTCTGGCATCTGTCAGGTGCTTGGTTGTTGTAAGAGTACAGGACGATTGCTCCCTCTACAGTCGCCTCTCTCTTACATGTATAGTTTAAGGCCCAGAGCGCGCGGGACTAGAGAGAGAGCTAGCCGTATATTATCGCTCTAGCTAAGCAAGCGAAAGCACGTGTAGAGTGGAGATAGAAATAAATGTACAGATAGAATTCAGAAAGTGAACACACTCGTATTATTATTAAGCCTGCCAGATATCCCCCAAAAATAACAGGTTATGGGCACCAGCACGTTTTCAACTGCGCTCATTTAAATAAAAGGCCAAAGAAATATGGGTGAGGAAAAAGGAATAGCGATAAAGGAGAGTGAAAAGATGGAGGAAGAATGTAAGTATACGAAACTTTATGTTTAAAAGAGATCTACAAAGCGAAACGAATTTTCTAAAGTTCTTCCTCGGTAAAAATTAACGGTGTGAATTAATTAAATTGATGCGGAAAGTCAATACGGTGAGGTGTAAAACCACGTGGTAAAATCGGACGAAAGAGAAATGGCGGAACATCGTGGTGTGCGGGGCGAGACGTTTTTGGAAAGGACGTTCTTTTGTTTGAAGTAACGGAAATTTTCTGGTGCGTAGTGAGAGGTCGGCCGGCACAGGCACGTGCGCGCAAGCGAGGGTGAGAAAGAGAAAGGAGAGTGAGTGGGAGAGGGACAGCCACAGTGCGCTAGGAGAGAGAAAACCAAGGTGGGACAAAGACAGAGCGCGGTGGCGTCCTCTTCATCTCTCGCTCTCTATATAAAAGCACGTGCCTGCAACTGCGCACTAGATCGTTCCAAAAACAACGTAAAACCATGAAAAATGTACTTGCAAGTCGAGGCGAGAAAGCAAACTAAATTTTAAAGCAAACTAAGCTTACAGTGTGTAAGCACCCACATACACGGGCTTCTTAAACAAACGTACAATGAAAATTATTTTTCAGCCGATACCAGTTTATCGGGAGTGTGGGAAACACTAACAAAAATGTTCAAACTAGACGAGCTACATAACAAAGATGAGGTTAAAATAGAAATAGACGGTGAGGAGATATCCATAAAAACAGAAAGTGGGAAACCATACAAAACTGGTGAGTATATGTCGACATTAGATGAGTTCAGGTGAGGTGAAAAGTAAATTGATAAATAAGTTCGAACTAAGTGTGCGCATCAAGCCTAGAAGTGGGCGTGTCGAGTAGGCTAGCATACTCGTACACGAGGCGCCACTCCACATAGATAAATGCACACACGAAAAACTCTCAGAATCGAAAATAGGCCTATATATGTATATATATATATATCAATAATAATATACAATTAATCACAATCATACATACAATAAAACACACGTACCAAATGTCTCGAAAATCAGGTTCTCCACTCCCCTGGTGGTCAGGTTTAACTATAAGAACAAAATTATATAATATTATACATACACTTCATGCTAGAAGTATTATTATGTATACCTCAGTGTATTAATACCATGTTAATGCTTTTATATATTGTATATGTAAACTGAATACTTACAATCTTCTTCTTTTTCTTCTTTTCATTTGCATCCAGATGTAGTGTTGTTCTATTTTAATAAAGGCAGCCTCAGACACTGTAATAAATATTTTCGTTAACAATTATTTACAAATGCTATAAAAATTATATAAGAGTTATTACCAAGTAAGTTCAGTGCGGGAACTGCTGATGTTGTTAATCTTTTTCTCACAAAGTATTTTTCTTCAAAATAGCTGTTACAGATCATCCAGAAATTCAGTTTTCAAGTGGAAGCACTGACTTTGGGTTACCACGTACTTCCACCCACTGCGCCATCCTCTTCTTATCCTTTTTCTCTTGAGTGAAGGAGAACATCCTTTAAAGATACATTTTAATAATTAAAATTAAATACATATATTACTAAAACACCAATGTAAACAGTTACTGTTTTCAGTAACAATTTTAAAAAATTCTATATTTACTTAATTTCTATCTTCTTCTGCTGTTGCTGCATCTCATCAGTAGAAGTTATTAAAAACCTAAAAACCTAGAAAAAACTTAAAAGAATATCTTTTTAAATAATAATAATAGTCATAATAATAATAATAGTAATTATTATAATAATGGAATTCACGAAC